TGACCGGCTCTGCCGCGGGGATGGTGGCCCCGCAGTCCTCGTCCCCCGGGTGTGCCCTCCCTCCCGGGGAGCTGACCCTCGGCTGCCCCTTCCTGCAGTCTCCAGCAGCTTCCCCTCGGCGCCGGGGAGCCTGGGCTTTGCACCGAGGGCCGCCGGCAGTGCCGAGCAAGAGGCGACGCCTTTCTGCTCCCGCAGTTTTCGGCCGGTTCGCGGCACCTCGGGGAGTCAAAAGTGGTCTGACGATTGTAAAACATCTGGTGGTGCTGGACTGAGCTTGCCTCGGCCCCGCAGAGCCGTTGTATAGGGGTCCGGTTTTGGGAGAGGACTGGCTTTTGGGGGTCATTGCTGTTTTGATCCCGTTTCTTCTTACGATTGCACACGCGACTCCGTGTTAGTTTTTTCATGCAATTAACGTTCTAAGTAATCGAGGAATGCTGAAGTCGTTCTGATCCCGTAGTGCAGACATTGCTTGCAAAAGAAATGCCAAACGCACTTACTCCAGGGGTAGTTCTGCTTACAGTGGACAGAAAGTATGACGTTCTTATAAGCAAAACAGATGTGTGAAGAAAACAAATTTGTGCCAATGCAAGCAGAGCTGGAGCGGGGAAGAGATGAGTCGGCCGGGTGCAGCAGAAAGAGAAGCAAATTGGCATGGAAATTTGGCATAGAGACTTTTGTAGCCGTTGTCTTGAAGTGCTTGGTTCAGGCAGAAGCTAAATTTTTTGTTTCATCTTAAGGCTTAAGCCAACGTTACTTGTATTAGACAGAAAAGGATGTGTAAGCATTTGAAAAATTTCAGATGTTGTTTCTAAATTCAGCGGTTAAAAATCGTTTGAAATAAAAAAGAAAACCAAATAAATGTGCTATTTATTTCGATAGCTACTTGGAAACGATAGAAAAGGCGTGCAAAGTTATTTTTCTTTTTGGGATGGGAAGTAAAATTTATGGACAATTCTTCATAAGAAATACCTCTCAACAATTCTGTATGGAGTGGTACTTTTATGTGGGACTCTGCGTCGGTTTTTCACGTTTGCTCGCTGTTTATGGAAATCCTGTATGGCCGAAGTCAGTAGCTAAACCCAATCGTTTTTGCAGGCTGTGGGCTCTAGTTTGTTCCTCTCCCTTAGAAAGGAAAGTGGAGCGGTGCAAACGCTTAGTAGACCCGACATGGATTTTGTTAATTATATTGATAACATTCGTTTACCGTTACGGAGACTTAAAATTCCCCGTTGGGTCCCGGCTTTACAAGGATGCAGATTTGAACTGAGCCCCTTTTGCTGTGGTGTAACGGAGAGGTGGCACTTTTTCCCTTCTGCTGTACAGAAACCGGGGAGAGCTTCAAGTGTGAGCACTGCGGCAAGGTTTTTGCCTACAAGTACTACCGGGACAAGCACCTCAAGTACACACGTTGCGTGGACCAGGGGGACCGCAAATTTCCTTGTGCACTTTGTGACCGATCCTTTGAAAGGAGAGACAGGCTGAGGATCCACGTTCTCCACGTTCACGAAAAGCACAGACCTCACAAGGTGAGCCTGATCTTGCTGACCTCTCTGCCTGTGCAGGAAGACCTTTTCATGCTGCAGCAGAGCTTACTAGAAGATATTTAATGGATTTATATTGGGGAAATAAACCCCACAGAGTATCAATGAGAGTTTTAAAAGAAACACTTTCTCCTGGGCTTTTTTTTTTTGGATGTTTGCATAAGGGTGTTGGTACTTTTGTTACATAGTGTGGGGCTAATTTGTGTCTAAAGGTGCTTAGGTTGTCTAGGATTAGGACAGAGGACATTCTTATGCCTATTGCCCCCAGTCCCACCCTTCAGTCTGAGGACAGAGTGACATCTGTATGACATCTGTTCTCTTTTGGCCTGTTGGATCAAACAGGAGTTAAAAGGTTTGCATTCAATGTGGAGCAGATTTTCAACTGATGAAAGCAAATTTTTGAGATACATAACTCATTTCCACCAAACACCTTGTTCTAACATCGGTTTTCTCTAGGAGCACTGGGAGTGGAAAATCAAGACTTTTCCTAAAGGTTTGGGTAGGACAAGTTCCGATGCTTGAAACGGCATAGTTAAATCATTCTTGAAAATTCTCCAATTACCTATTTTATAGATCATCCTACAGTAATGTGATGATTTTTTTTCAGGAAAATATTTTATAAATAAAATGGCATTGTTACAATGTCAGAATATCAATATAAATTTAGTAGCAGATTAAAAATATTATTCTCATAAAGGAGATTAAATACCATGTAATACTTCCTTTCTCCCCTTTTTCTCCCTTTCCCCCCCTTGCTTTTTCTCCCTTTCCCCCCCTTGCTTTTTCTCCCTTTCCCCCCTTTTTTTCCCTTCCCAGTGCTGTGACTAACTCCCCATTGCTGAAACAATGGTTCTTATTTTAAGAGGTTGACTTAAGATTTATTTATTTTTTTTTATGTTTGTTTTTTTGGGGGAGAGTTTTGGTTTTTTATTTTTAGGAAATTTCTTTTGAGAAAAAATAGCAACTGGAACTTGAATTACATTTTAAAGAAAAGTGATTTTACTGAAACTTTCACATTTAT